TAAGAAAATCATATGCAGTAGTCAAAAGAACTACTTACAAACAAGTCGAAACTCCCAGATTCCCAGCGTTTAACCTCAAATTCCCACGAACTACGTATCACTAGACTCGCAACCTTCCCCCTCCACCGTGCCTTAAATATCACGTTAGACGCGCGTATCGTTTCATTTGCATTCACACTCGTCTCGAAATTAAATACTACGCGGGAAACACCCTCGCGACCCGCTAAAGCGGCCGCTTTAACGACGGTGTGCATGAACAGCCAGCAGAGAGTCATAAATTACCGTCTAATCTCGAATTATTCATACATGCCGCGAGGTGCGCAGTCCGTATGCGCAGTCCGTGTGCGCAGCTGACTCACGTGGACGCTGTGGACAGGCGGAAGGCGCAGGAGATCGGATTAAAACGCGCGTGGGTGAGATTGGTTCCACGAGTCAGTTCCGATTGTCTGTGATTGGCGAACAGGTGCGAGCGGCGGGTATCTGGTATGTAGGAAATCGAGAACGCCGTCGAATCTCTCTCGTGAATGCGCCGCGGTCGAGTGCCTCGAATGGCGGATTTTATGCGTCTAATCGTGAAACGTGGGAAATTTCGTTTGAATGATTGATAAGGAACCTAGACACGCGATGATTGCAATTGATGGATAGTCTTGCTGAAACTATAATTCACTGGATTATTCGTTTGTATAATGTGAGGTTAGGTTTGGAAGTTCCGTAGATAGAATTGCGGGAAATTCAAAGAGAATGTGTGATTATAGAATTATCATTTTATTCAATTATGTATTCTCTGTTCTTCTTCTGTGATCTTTTATTATTTATTGTATAGTTATGGAATCGCCTTTTTCAAAATAGTTTTTAACTGTTTCAGTGACAAATTCTTAATGTTAGGTCAGGTATGCGAGTTTCGTACATAGAATTGCGGGAAATTCAAAGACATTTTATTAAATTCTTCGTTTACTTCGCTTTTTTGAAATACTTTTTGACACTTTTAGTGTCGAATTTTTAAAAATAGTTTGAAAAATAGCTTCTATTCTTCTGCATAGATAAAATATTTCACAGTTACTCCTAATTATATTCAATATTTGATATTTCAGCCATTTTCAGACAAAGTGATTAACCTCGCTTTGGAAATTTTTTAAAATTTTTGTACCAAAGCAATGGATTGATTTCCAAATTTTTATATTTAAAATAAACGTCTACTTTTAGCCCTTATAGTGTTAATCGATTTGGTAAATTGCTTCGTTTAAATGGATAATATAAAGTATCCCTAGCAACCTTCCTCTACTCGCCACCAGAGGGACACTTATCCGCTATTTTCCATCTTTTCTTAGGAGTTCTCGCCTAAGTATCCGTGTCATATAAATATTATTTCCTATTTAAATTGTATTATTATGATGTCTTCTATAAAATACAAATCTTTTAGGATAGTTTTACTAATAAATCCACTATAATAGGCCCCGAACGAAAGAAGAAGAATTGTTCTTGTTCCGATAGTGCACTCTTCTCTCTCTACCACTTTCCTTCGATAATATATTACAGTATTCTCACAACCTTTTATATCGAGAGCCTTATCGTGCTTCACATTATTCTCCGATCCGTTTCTCCTGCACTTTAAACGATCGATTCGATCAAATACCCGCAAGCCCTCTAACAGATATTCAATTGCAAGATCGCGGAGCCTCGCGATTCGAAGGGTAGTCAGCCAGCTTGAACCTTCCAACTCAGCGCTTTGGATCGTTCGATGCCCCATCGTCGGTTAGCTGTCACTCGGGGCACCTTCCAACGCTTAGGCACACGTTAATTCGCATGTCTAGAAATCAGGCCGATGACTCGTTGCGTGTACGACACCTGCATGCCCGTCAGCTGCGAACGTATCGCACCTGTGTAATCCAATTTGAAATCGTACAGGCAGCAGAGAAGAAGGTAACTCGTAACGATACGTATGACAATGTGCGAACTCATGAATGATTTATGAACGAGACCACGCGACAGCGTCGAATACCCGAGGGGGTCGTTCCACTCTCTCTTCTATTTTTCTTTTTCTTCTGGCAAAATAAGCGTTTATCCAGCCGCCATTTACATACAATTCGCGCTTGCCGCATATTACATTGTCGATAAACGTATCGACCAACGTGTTGAACTTGTGCTCTAATCATTGTTCATTGAACAGTTACACTAGGCGGATAAAAACGTCTCATTATGCGTCGCAGGTTTACAACAAAATTCTTGCCATTCCTCCAAGTGCAAGACACAAATTCTCTTATTGATTCTCAAGAATAGGGTAGGAGGTAAAAGAATCACTTTTGACAAAAAACGACGGGGACTGTGAGATCTCCTTATAGGGGTTTTGATATCTTGTGGTTCCTCGGTGCTGTCTGTTGAGGTTTACAACAAAATTCTTGTCATTCCTCCAAATGCAAGACACAACTTCTCTTATTGGTTCTCTAGAATAGGGCAGGAGGTAAAATAATCTTTTTTGACAGAAATCGACGGAAACTGTGAGGATCTTCCCATGGGGGTTTTGATATCTTGTGGTTCGTCTGTCCGTTGATAACCTGTACGTCATCTTGCTATGATAGATGGCAGGTTAGAAGGGTTGCAGGGAAGGAATGCGTCTGATCTTGGGCCTGCTGGTGGACTCGTCAGTAAGATTTTCTAACATGCCCTGCCTTAGACGAAGAGTACTTAAGCGGATCAGGAATTTATATTTGTTGCGGCCCTAGGACCGCATGTCCCAAGTTAAGTGCAGGACTGTTTCTATCCTTATTGCCAGCGTCCCTTGATTCATATACACTCGAGATCACTTAATCACCACTTGCTTTAACCTTAGCAAGGGTCAATAAATCACCCTTAGGACGATAGGTATAAGGACCCAAGCAAAAATTTTAAAAATTAGAAAAATTAGGAAGAATGGAATGAAGTAGAATATCGAATCGAACTCTACATAAGACCCCAAAGAGTCAACTACTATGACGAATTAACTCGTTAGTGAAAGCTACTGATATAGCATATGAGACGAGTAAATTCAAGAATGGAATTTTCATGTAAGATAATTCTTATTCTGCTTATTTTTACTCGTATTATTTTATTTCTGTTCGTACCAGTCGTTTCGTTTGATAGAAGCAATTTTGGTTTAAATTATTTGCTTGTTTATTAAGAAATTCCCTCCTGTTTAGTTAAATGTAAGTTATGATATTTCAGATTTATTGTGGGCACGACGAACTAACTCGTCTTCGCAAACTTTCCATAGCACGTGCAGAGCGCATTTCGATCAACGACCTTCCCAATTAACACGTTGACTGTCATAGAGAACATCGCCAAAGACGCCATGATGGCCGACGATATTGAAATTATTAAAAACATTTGATTTAAATAAATAGTAATACTTATAAAATTTTCAAAATCTATATTGTTATTGCAATAACATAAAGAATCTACATTTATGTCCCCATAAGTAGCTGTTCATAATTGCTGTATAACTGATAGCCACTTACAATTATTCAACAGGGTACAGTATAATACTAACCTTCCTTTGTAAAATCAAATTTGATTTATAATTATATAATTTCAAAACAAAGTATCAACCTAATTACCAACCTAACCTAAAAACCACCGGTATTAGCAACTTATGTTACTCATTACTACACTTAACTTATCCTAACTACAGTAAAATAATACTAACCTTCCTTTGTAAAATCAAATTTGGTTTATAATGATATAATATCGAAAGAAAGTATACCAACCTAATTACCAACCTAACCTAAAAGCCCCAGGTATTACCAACTTATTAGTTACTCAATTTACATCAACTTATCGTAATTACAGTAAAATAAAATTTAAATTGTCCATCACTACTGAAATTATGTATTTAATTTTTCAAAGAAATGAAAGATATATACTGTGCCTAACTGATTTATTTTAATAGGGTTTTAAAAATATCCTTTCCAAATTTTTAACGACTCTATCCACTACTGAGTATACATGCACAATTTACATACATGTTACTTTGAAGGAACACTGAAAATCACAATGTACTATTATCTTGTCACGTGCTACAAAATAGATCTGACAAACGACGTGTTAAAAATTAGAGATTGGCCAATCCTTAATCTGACAATTATGTATCTAACACGTTAAGTGTCCAGCCCGTTTTGCTTGCCGTTCCGTTCAGGCCCAGATTCAGCCGTCAAGTGGGCCACCGGCGACGGGCCAAGTGTTCATAAAACTCAGAGATACTGTACCAATTGTTATAACAGGAATTTCCAAACGTTAGGTCCAAAGATGGCGAAGAATTTAACACCAAAAGTTAGCACCTTTTGGTTCTAGTCTGGGCCAGTCTCTGAGGACCGGCCGGGCCCGAACGGAAAGTCTAGCACCGATCCCTGGGACCCGGCGTGGCACTTAACGTGTTAATTTTGCAAAGAAAAATGTATACCGTGCCTAACTGATTCATTTTAACGGGGTTCCTGTAAGATATGCGATGAATATGCGATCGATACGGGGACCGTGCTAAGTAACGATACGGCCCAGCGCGTGCGCGCGATGAACACGCGCAGGAGAACGATCGCCGTCTCCCGATGTATGATTTTGGGAGATTTATTGCGACTGGTGTTTGCCCACCTCGTGTGTGCTGTGAATATTCGTGACTGCATTGTATTTTACGTTTCCACGTGTATTTAGTTTACTTATATTTTCCATTTACCAAACCCACTTTATTAATAAATCCCAACAGTTCCAGAAATATCCCTTCCAAATTTTTATCTATATCCACTACTGAGTACAAATACAAAGTTTGCATACATTGCGTTACTCCGAAGAAACACTGAATATCACAGTACGCTATTATTTTGTCACGTACAAAATTGATCTGACAGTCAACGTGTTAAAAGTTAGAGCTTGGCCAATTGAACTGTCCAAACCGTCAGCGAATTTCTCTCTCTTTATTCCAAAGCCCAATACCCAAACGACGGTATCTGTAAAAGTTTTCTTTTTGTTTTCCGAAGATCTTACAGTCTCAGTTGGCGTCAGCACCCGATAGCGGAACGCTGCTGGCCGACGCGGCTCTGGATAGTTCAGGAAGCGGTGACAGGCCAATATGGAGGAAGAAAGGCACAGGGGAGGACATCGATAACGACGACGAGGACGTGCGTGGTTACGATCACGACGACGAGGAGGCATCTGGATCAGGAATGGGCCCCACTACACTAGGTACAAATTCCATATTCTTCAGATTTATGTGCCCCAATTTTTTCCGATGTTACATCCCTGAATTTTTCTCATGAAGTTATGTTATTCTTATTCTTTTCATATGGAGAATAGCATACTCGTGAACATACTCGTGATAGTGTTACGGAATTTAGTTGAATATTTGTAGGGTACATTGGGACTGAAACAGGTCTTTTAATCATTTATAGCTATGCGTTTTGATTGCTTAACTCATTAGCTGCCACGATCCCCATTTTGGAATTTTGAAATTTTACGTACACCACTCGGCCTCAAAAATATATTTGGTACGCCTGACAGTTTAGTTTTATTCTATATATATCAGTCAATATTGCATGTAGCAAAATGTGTGTATTCTGTGCTTCGTTTCTATATAACAAGCGAACAAATTTGAAATTCGCGTGTAAGTTGAACGGAATAGGATTGTCATATTTGAAGCATTATATTTTTGGTTTGGTTTTTATATTATAATGAAATGCCGTGCATAAATATGTAATTTAGAGGTTATAAAAACGATTTGTTACTTACTCAGTCTTTTGTTTTTTATTGAAATGATTTTATCGATCATTTTATAACGATACCCATTTTGGGGCTTTTTCAAAAATATCAAATATTTTCGAAACGAAACGTAATTTTAATATAATTATACTGTTACACAACCTTTTGTGCATATATATAACTTATCCGGCCAAAAATTTCCGAAAAAGAAATTTGGGAGTTAATGGGTTAATGTAAGTTATGATTATGAAATAATTTCAGAATAGAGCAAATTATATTTATATCATGATCACTGTTTTATTTTAAGTCAGAAAAATTATTTGAACGTTTTTATTGTTAATTGTAGACTATAATTAGACTATAATTTTTTGGTTACTTAAAATGATGTTTCGTGGCCTGGAATTTTTTAATATATAAATATTAAGCTATTAAAATAATTTAATATATAATTTTTTTAATTTAATTAAATTTTGGTATTTTCTTCTCTGCTCGTTTAATTATGCTTCTTAGTTTTAAAAATAAAGTTACAATTAATGATTAATGAATTTCTAATTTTCTAATGGAATTAATTTCATCTTTTTAAAGAAATATGAATTCTTCCATTAAAAGAAATAACTATTAAGCTTGTAAATGTAGCAATTTTAAGCAAAATATTCGCATTTAAGATATATAATTCCAACCACTTGTTGCATATGTAATTCACACATGTTGAAATTTTTAAATAGCATTTGTTATCGCTTTATTAATATTTCTCACCAGTTCCTCGTAATATGCCAGAGAACATTCCACAATTTTTGCAACACTTAACTCTGGAAAAAGATTAAAATAAATGTTCAAAATTAAATTTAACCGCGTACTCGAATAAATTAAAATAATTTCAAAGCTCTCCAAGGATTCCATATCACGACGTCGCTATTTAAATGATACAATTGTAGAATAAATACTTTCTGTTTTAAAAGAAATTTTAATTGGATAAAATTAGCATAAAATATTTGAAAGTTCCTAAAATAACTAGACTACAATTCGTAATAAAACTCGAAGGTTTAACTAGGTTGTTGCTCGGACAGAATTTCCGAGATGAAGTTGGATATATATAATAACGTGATACGTTAACATAGATGTAATATATCCGCGAAAGAAACGTTATCTCAGAGTTAACAATAAATTGGAAGCACTACTACGCCAGGTAATAAACGAAACGACACCATATGATTGGAAAGGATTTTGTAAACACGTAGAAACACTGGAACGCGAATATTGGACGAAAGACGGAATAATAGAAGATGCAACTGAAGACTTAGAATTGGAAATACAAAGCAGTGAGTCGGATAAAAAATCAGATGACAATAGCTCAAAGATTTATAAAGTAAAGAAGTACAAATGTAATAATAATTAACATCATTTATGAAAATTGATTTAAAATTTAAGATGTATTTCTTATGATAAATTAATTATATAATTGCATCATACCAGATAACCGCTTAAAAAAATCATACGATGCAACATAAATATAAAAAATATGTGTATAGTACATAACGTATGCTGCATAATGCAATGAAAAGTTAATCAAGATGCTAATTAGTAATTAGCAATTGCAAATAATCATGTGTTCATCAGAAGAATCTGAAGTTAATATGCTTTTGGGATGAGTCTACGCTCTTGCATCTATTTCTTGCGTCTGTCTCACTTTGTCTCGTTGCTTCGTTCGCTTTCTTTGTCACATGGTGTTCTATGACCGGGCTAACAGGAAGGGATCAGTTCTACCAATAAGGAAAGCGTTTTACTCTACTTCTGCCATGATGTTAGAATGGTTGGGCTGGTGGAGATTCGGTCCTACAAGTTTCTCAGATAACTTCTTTTCAGCAACGCATAGTAGCTCAACCATAACCAGGCCTAGCTCTATTAATTTAGAACAGACCGCATCCCAGCAACATTGTCGCATCTGCGTAAACGGGCCTTACAACCGCACTAAACTCCCACCATGCGAGTTGCAGTGTTCGAGACGCAACAAAGCCAACAATACTATCTTTAATGAACCCACCCAAATCCGATCCTACTTATATTTAAAAATCTACGTAACCACTACCACATAAACATCCATTGCCTAATAATAATAAAGCTGCACTTCTAAACCAAGCAGCAAATTATCCCAGGAAATGAACGAAAACGAATTATCTGTTACAGATCCACTGACGAAGACATCAACGATACTGAAGAATCGCGAGAATCCGACCACAGGTGGCGCCTCGAGCATTCTCCTGTCGTCCATCGTAATGGCGGTCGCCTGTGTACCGTTGATCGCCTAAGTTAAATCGAAGCCGGCGTGAAAGAAGGGAACGACGTTTCGACGACCCGCGACCTAGACAAGACGTAGACAAAACGATTTTGGTGCCCGCGTCGGCGAACAGGATGATCCTGCTCGACACGAGGGATCTGATCCGTTAACGGATCATACGAATCTGCTTTATAGGTATTTATCGTGCCGCCTGAACGGAACAGCTGCGAGAGGAAATGTCCCGTGACAACCGTTTGGGAAATCCGTTTCGTTGTTCGTGGCTGAGAATCGATGCGTGTCGATCGATCGAACGAGGACTGTGCGTTTCGTATCGAAGTTCGAGAGCAAGGTTCTGAGAATCGTTCGCGTTCGAAGATAACCTTCTTGGCTCGTTGGCCTGCGTGATCGAGTATCCGAGAAGTGTCGCAACCACGAGGCTGAATAGACATTTTTCCAGGCAGAGGTCGTTCCATACGGATAGGAAACCGTAGGTCAGGATCTGATATCGAATAGCCGGGAGCAAAAAGTGTCACAGGAGAGAGAGAGAGATCGTTGGACAAGTGTCTCGCCAGCAATGGCGTCCTGCTCTCGACGATGCGCCAAGGATCGAGCGACGGCGGCGGTTGGTACTACTTGCAGCGAGAATGCTTGGGCGATTAAAAATGGCGGCGCGAGGCCTGGAGGAACAACGAGCAGACCGATTCTCATCGATAGCGCGTCTCGTTGCTAGCGAACCAGACCACGAAGGATGGGATTATATTTAGGAAAGTAGAAACGTTTCGAGGAAAATTAAAGTTGGTCCGGTTGGTCGAGCTGCTCGTGTGTGTGGAGCGAGGAAGGAACGACGGGCGGGTAAAGAGTAGGTCGAGAGTGACGCCAATGGTAATGTTGTCCTTTTCTGTTTTACGATGCCAGTAAGCACGATCCGTGGCCATCCGACGAAAATGACTGCGCTGCCGCGATTCCACCGAACGGCGGAAGATTCCTCTAAGCAGCGCATTCTGTTTTTCTGGAGGATTGGTAAATTGAGGCGAAAAGGAAGAGACCATTTCGTATGAAATTGGAGCCAAAGGAGAAAATGTCGAGAATAATCCCCGAGCAACGCTACGATATCGTGTTACGTCTATGGGAGATCAGATTTGATAACATAGGAGAAGGACGGAAGAGTAATACCGGAAAGAATAATACTGCAGTTCCGGATAAACGAAGAATAACACTGTATCGTGGTATTAAAAAATTTCAAGGCAACACCTTGCACGAAACACGCGGCAATATCATACGAGCCAGATGAGCACGACTGATTCTCTCATGGGTCAAGGAATCCTATCGGTCCACATATATACACGAGTTTGGTAAACGTTCCCTTTCGCCAAAAGATTCAACGAGGAGAGACCACGTGAACAAACAAAAGCTGCAACCTCGATCAATAATATAGGCATCGTTGATACGCACACTCTGCTGTGAATACTTTGCGAACAGCGTGAGGTAATCGCCTGGCAAAACTTACGCCGTTCGCGTCGCGCGACAAATCAAAGTGTCTTTCCTTCATGAAAGTATCAAACGACTAATCGAAATAAGCAGCAACGAGCAACAATAACAACGGAAAGATATCTCGCTTGCAGCCAACGGCTCCAAACGACCCGGCGAAGCCGAACAACGTCACCCCGACCTTTGTTCCTCGCGTTTTGCGCTGTTCTTCGTCACGCACGAATTGCCTCCCGTTCGCGGCGACGCTTTTTGTCGCCGACGTCGATACACGGACTAATGGCGGGGACCATCCCCGTCGGTGATATCGCGTGTGCATGCCATATATCAAAGCTAACTGCCAAAACGCCAGTTACGCGGCCCGAAGCTGCTTTCCCGCTGAGCGCTCGGTTGTCGATTTCCAGTCCCTCGGGGAACGATGCCTTCCGCTTTCATCCACGGTAAACGTTCCCAAGGTTAGCCGCGAGACGATCAGCAACGTCGTCCATGCTAAGTAGAGTGCTCCACGTAGACAGACATAGCGATTGCAATGCCATCTGTCAGCAGTAGGAAGCGTTCCTTTTCAGATGGAGTGTTCGGATGGAGGCAGAGGCGTAGGAAGATCGACACCGATCGTTTTGATTTGTTTCTTTTATAATTTTCCGAGTAGGATACGCGCAGAGTGGTTGATACGCTGCGAGCAGTCGTACGAAGGTGTATACGGGATCGTACGATCGATTGGTTAGGCCGAGCGGATCAAGCACTCCTCCTTGGACGTCTAATCGTTGAAGAGTAGCTCGACGAACTCGATGACCGGTGATTCGAATTTAAATTGCTGTCAGAGCCTAGCTAGGCCAACGATAACGCGCTAGCGATTCGATGGTGTTCTAAAAGACGCGTTGTTAGAACCTGGTGTACCAAAATTTCTCGCAATCGACTTGAATCCAGTGCCATAATGTTTTATCAGCTTCTCATCGGAGTGCGGAGAATCGTCCATGTTGTTTCACCGATTTCTAACGATTCTTTAAACAAAATTTCACGTTGTATATCTAGACGCTGTCAAGTGCCAAAAGAAGTAAAAGAAACGCGAGGTTTAATGCCGATTGTTAAAATTGTCTCGCGATCCGTAGACGAAAAGTTCCTCGGCGCGTCAACGGTTCAGACGTCTAAGCTTCGTGACGGGCCCAGATTTTGGCGGTTTGCTTTCCAACTAAGAAAACGACTTAGGCTAGCGTAAGAAAGTAAGAAGAGCTAAGGAGACGGAGCCTGTCGGTATAACCACGTATGCGTCGACTCGTATGCGGCCGCACTGATTTTTGTACATTTCATTTTTCGGATCTTTGAGGGTTAGTGCCTTTTTGAATATCCCTGGCCGTGACGTCGTGTTATCATCTCACGCCCGACAGAAGGAACGAGAGAGAACCATCGATATAAATACGACTGTACAGGGCATTCATGCTGAAGAGAACGATGTGTGCGCGTGCGACCTTCTTTTCCCCCTTTGTAATTTCTTCTGATGGCAGAGAGAAAAAGGAGAAAAAAGACAGACAGCGAGAGAACGAGAGAGAGGGAGAGAGAGAGAGAGAGAGAGAGAGAGAGAGAATTGGGATTCGGCTTGATCTCGAGTGATCTTAATATACCCGCTAACATAAGAAACGACCAACGCGTTTGAGAACGTCGCGTTCGTTCGAACAGTCGAGGAGAAATCTAATTTCCTCCGGAACTCGAAGATGTTGACTAATCGTCGTCTTGGATAGGGTTCAGACTGCGTTCCAACGTACATCAACGCGAACTTTGTAACATGGCAGACTTTTCGACCGAAAGGCTTTTTTTTCTATTACCGATCGCGTGGCTTATCCCTAAGGTTAATTATACAGAACAATAACGACACGCGGAAGAAACTAGTCCATCCTGCAGCGGCAGATAAGATTACGTTATTCGCCTGGCTGAAACGAGACCTCGGTACGCCGAGTGAATTTCTTCAATGCGAAACGTTCACCGGTTTATCGATAACTCTTGCACTTCCCTCACAGGATTAATACAATGCCGCTTATCGATCAACGTTTCCCCTTTTTATCATTCGGTCCTTGCAACCCGAAAGGGAGAAACGTTCGGCGAGAATCATTCGTTAATTCAGCCGACTCGGCTGACGAGTCCATCTCGTTCTAGGTATCCGTAATACGATTGAACACCGAGGCCGATAGATTGGACCACCACTCGAGAACTTGCTTTCGCGATCGACGAGTCTTCTTCGTCCTGAAAGTTAGAAAACAGCATAACCGTAGGTGATAACGAGATTTGCTAAACATTGTCACGAAACTTGGCCGAAAGTGGGAAATAAAGGGAAAATTCGAGGCTGTACGTATCTTCCCAGTGAAAGAGATCTGGCAATACGAGGAATTAGAGAAGTGGAAGATATAGATGTAAAGATGTTCGCATTTGGTGACTTCGTGCACTTTTGAACTCGCCTTTAACCACTTGCGCTAGAAGACGTGCCACGCACGTCGTAATTGCAGAATCGCCAACGACGTGGCATACACGTCGCCAAACAATTGTCACAGAAATTGGATCGTTCTGGCACACGTGTCTTGTGGATTTCTTGCCAGCGAAAGTGGTTAAGACGCATTCGAAGCTCAAGAAATTGCAACGGTTTGACGTTAGACGTGGATACCCGATTGAGCGTTGTTCGAACGCAATTGTTGCGATGTAGAATTGTAAACCCTCGATTAAAGTTCTGTGTGTCGGGCGGATTTAGGCGTCGAGAAACGTCAGCTCGCGCACGAGTCGTCCCCTAAAGGCTCGTTTCGAATCGTCGAACTGTGTACGGCTGCGTGACCCCTCTGATCGCGGAGATATTAATTTACGTCCCAACGGCACACGTCTGCTGTAAAATCGCGTGGCCAGTCGTTTAACGCGAAGAAAGAAGTGGCCTTACATTCGATTCCTTCGATTCGTGTTGCCTCTGCTTCGATTATCGAACAGACAGTCGTTTAGACTCTATACGAGATCAGCTATTTATAATGCTCTTTGTTATATACATGTTTCTCGTGGTGCTACAGTGAATAAAAAGAAAGAATACCGATTAATTAAAAGCGATATATTGGAAACAAAACGTACCGCGTTGATGCCTACGAGATACATACGGCTGAGCGGCACGGACCCATGGCCCCAGTTGTGCCGAGGGAATTTAGAAAAATTCATTTTCTCGTGAATGGCGGGTACACGTGGGATCAGACGAACGGTTGGGTCCATTCAATCAACTTATTGTGTTCGTTTAAATTGGCTCGTTGAACGTTGAATGGCTCCGATGGCGAATTTAATTAAAGCGATACACATTAGCCGCTCTAGCCGCGGGCCTGACTGCACGAACATCCAGCTGCACGCCGCTCTGATACCAAGTGCGAAATTGGAGACGAGACGCAAGAAACGCACAGAATACATTTAGTCACGATTCCAGTGATATAGCACGCTCGTAAATTAATATAACAAACGAGGATACCGATTGATACCGAAACGGCGACACAGATGTCGCCAGTATCGAGTAACACATGCGCACTTTTGGCGATAGGACACCTAGCGCGAGATGGGAAAAGCAATATCCTAACCTCAAATTTCATCTTGGCTCACTTGCACCGATTATTGTCAATTTGCAATGCCAATTGCATTCTGACAGATACTTTCGCTGCTTCGAGGAACTTCGATCTCTCGTGGATCACGGTTCCTGTTATCAGAGAAGCCATTTTGAGTGATACAGCGCTATCGCTCTTGTACCCCGTCACCGTCAGATGTCTCGAGTTGCCGATCCGGCAGTCGTTCGTCGTTCTTCCAACTAATTTCACGACCTCGCTATATCATCCAACCCCCGATTATACTTAACACGAACAATACGGACAATTCCTCGTCCTCTAATTACGCGACGCGCTACGTCGCGCTACCTCCGTTGAAGTGACGCGCGCATCCGCGACGACTGGCACAAGCAAACCGCGTAAATCGCACAAATTTAAGGCCTAATTCAATGTTTCTCGTGTTACGTTAATCACGGTGCAACGACGAATGCATATCGCCGTTCGCGAGGCCGCGTGTGCTAGTAAAGGAGAAGAGAGGGATAGAGAGAGATAGAGAGGGATAGAGGGAGATAGCGAGGGATTCAGAGGGACAGAGAGGGATAACGAGGGATAGAGGGAGATAGAGAGGAATAGAGAGAAATACAGAGGGATAGAGAGGAATAGAGAGAAATAGGGCGGGTTAGAGAGGGGTACAGAAAAATAGAAAGGGATAGAGAGGGATAGAGAGAGATAGAGCGGAATAGAGAGAATAGATAGGGATAGAGAGGGATAGAGGGAGATAGAGGGGAATAGAGAGAAATAGAGAGGGATAGAGAGAGATAAAGAGGGATATAGAGGGATAGAGAACACGCTGTCTGAAACACGCATATTTTCGCGGCATAAAAATAAGATTCGCGGAGCCGTTAAACGCGGGGCCACAACGCGTGGGTAACGAGAGCGGGATTAAACATAGGATCGGTCGTACGAGGAAGTAATTTACGTTGAATCGCGGGCCCGTGTAGCGTGATTCGCGTAGAGAAGCCACGAGGACGCATTCACTCGCGCGAAAGCGTTAACGAGTTTACTGAAAAATAGGGTTTAATTAATCGGAATAAATAAGCGCGACCGGCAATTTATCGCTCGAGGAACATTCCAGCCAGTTGCTCGAGGAGCGGGCTACATCCCTGTTCTAACAAACGCCAGCCAATTGAACCCGGCCACGCTGCTTGACCCTTTGTATTTTAATAACTTGTCCTAATAACTAGTTCGGGTCACCACGCTAAATAGCCATCAGACGGTACGGAGAGCTTTCTGCCTGTTAACGTACCATGCCTAACCTCCGTTGTTGCTTCTTCCCCGGTAGCACGTCTGAAAGAAAGGAAAATAGGGGAGGAATGTAAA